TAAATATATTAGGGATTTCATCGAGATTAAAATTAGGATGGTGTAACTCTCATTATACATAAATATTGAACAACTAGCTGTTCCTCGCGACTTCGCCGCGCGTGTAATTTAGGGTTTTAATTTAGTTGCGCGGAACCCTAATTATTTTTTTAAAAATATAAATAGCCTATGTTACTCCTTATAACATGTGCTATCTACCAGTGAAAGTCCCGTCAAAATCGTTCCAGCCGTTTTGGAGATTAGCCGGCACAAAAATTTTAAAAATTGTGTTTCTGTTATAGGTACCGTATGTAATTTTATATGCAATTAGTAAAAAGCTGTTATTTTGACATTAGAAACAGTTAACTTCAATTTTATTTATTTGTATAGATAGGTAGATACTGTCCTTTTACATTGTAGGTGGTTTAAACTATTATTACAAAATACATGACCGGCCTGTAAGTTTAAGCTGTCACAAAGAGTGACTCAAGAGGCTTAAATGAACAAACATTAACATTAGTTGACATAATACGCCTTCAGTAAAGAAATGAGGTAATGTGTGTAACACTCGCGGCCCTGAAATCTGACCCAAATTTCCTAGTCTTTAAAGCTGTAATTTGTTTTTATTGTGCAAAAAAATGATTACCTCAATTGTCTTATATTATATTATACCACGCCGCATGTTCTGCAGTGAAATATAAGACGGAGCCAAACTTTCATTTGTTATCAAGCTAGTGCTTGACTACATTCCAATTACAATACAATTCATCCACTGGATGATGACCACAATAGATACATAGGCTGCAATAAAAGTATCGGGAATGGAATATTTCCACTGTTCCTGTCATATTAAAATCTTTTAAATTGAAAAGTCCTTGGTTTTTTTAAAATTGAATACCATTTATTTATTTAAAAAAAGATTCTCGGTCTTGTCACAAACTTTTGTCAAACTTTTTTAGTCGTTGAGAAAATGGAATTGACTCGAGAAAATTCAAGAGCGATGATTTATTATGACTTTCGAAGTGGTTTAACACAAAAATAGTGTATTGACCGGATGATTTCTGCATTTGGTGATGAAGCCCCATCCAAAACCAAAATTTATCGCTGGTTTGCTGAATTTTAACGTGTACGTGTCAAGCTCAGTGATGATCCCCGTCAAGGTCGTCCAAAAACTGTAGTCACCCAAAAAAACGTTGATGCTGTGCGTAAACTGATTGAGGAAGATCGACATGTGACATACTGCGAAATTCAGGCAACTTTAGACATTGGCATGAGTCAAATACAAATAATCTTGCATGAACAATTAGATGTAAAAAAGTTGTTTTCCCGATGGATACCGCATTCGCTCTGTGAAGAGCAAAAAGCGGCTCGCGTTACTTGGTGCGTCAGAACTCTCGAAAGATTCCACGCAGGATCCTCAAATGCTGTATACAACATCGTATCAGGTGACGAATCCTGGATTACGAACCCGAAACAAAAAACCAGTCACGAGTTTGGGTGTTCGAAAATGTGTTAAAGCCAACAAAAATTGTTCGTTCACGGAGTGTTGCAAAAAAAATGGTGGCCACGTTTGTCTCCAAAACCGGCCATGTTACGACTATTCCTCTTGAGGGACAAAGAACGGTTAATGCAGAATGGTATGCTAGCATTTGTTTGCCACAGGTCGTTTCTGAACTCCGTAAAGAGAACTGCAACCGCCGCATCATCCTGCATCACGACAATGCGAGTTCTCACACCGCACACAGAACAAAAGAGTTTTTAGAGCAAGAAAACATAGAATTATTAGACCATCCGCCGTACAGCCCCGACCTAAGCCCTAATGATTTCTATACTTTCCCTAAAATAAAGAATAAATTGCGTGGACAGAGATTTTCATCACCTGAAGAAGCTGTGGACGCCTACAAAACGGCCATTTTGGAGACTCCAACTTCCGAATGGAATGGTTGCTTCAATGATTTGTTCCATCGTATGGAAAAATGTGTCAAATTTAAATAGTAATGTTGTGTCACTTCCTTGATTCCCGAAATTTTGAGTGCCGCCCTCGTATATACATGACGTGTAGGATAGGACTAAAGAGTGCATTTACGTTTGCGTTTGTGTTTATACCTGACTTACTATAATATCTTCTGCGGAGTCAGCTCAGCTCCGCTCAGGAGAGTGAGAGTGTTTTTGAAGCCAAAATGGACTGTAATCTGCCCTGATTATCAAGAAATAACAATAAATTGTCAAACATAATAATATTATTCGGCCTCGTCTGCTCGACGTTACGCTGCGTTGTTTCGTATGGTCAGTGAAGTGAACCGGAAGCCCTTTTTACTGGAAACGGGGCATTCCATCTTTGTCCTCAGGGGTAACAACGCACCTGCATTTTGATTCTTAGTCGAGGAATGTAGACGTCTATATGCCACAACATCCACTTACCATCAGGTGGACTGTGTGCTCGTTTGTCACCCGTGTTCTATAAAAAAATAACAAAAATTAGTTAGTCGTATCGCTATGAAAAATTCTATAGCATGTCTTAACATTCCTCAGGATAGTTGGAATGCTTCATTTGCAGTAATTTAGTACCTATACTGTTTATGGCCCGCACTACTACACTACGTTTACTACAAAATATGGCAGATTTTTGCTGTCATTTTTATTTGGCATTTTCAGGTAGTAAGATTTTTTTCTCCAGTTGCTTAAGCTAAGCTAGCTTACTTTTCCGTCTTGATCTGCGACAAAACTTGCCATCAGTTGGGATTCTAATCAAGTACTGTCTTATTATATGTATAAAGCTATTTTATTTACGAACCACAGTCCACAGCAATTATCTGGTCGTAAATTACATTACAGTCAAAAGTAGTATTTTTAAATCCTTATAAAAGCGCGTTACAAAAATAGTTCTATGACAAACAAAACTGCATTTCCAAACACTCCGCATTCTGTAGAATCTAACCTATAATGTCTGAGTTGCCGTACAGAATTTTTAAGTGGCGTAAGTTGAAAGTGTGTGAGTCAGGTTGGGTAGGCCTCATATCAGTCACTTGTCTAGTATGGTACATCCTCTTGGCTTTTTACTTTAAATATTAGTAACTTTTGTACACATTGTCATTTGTTCCGAGTAAAATATTGACTGTGACATAGATACTATCATTATTTTATTAAAGACAATTAAGGTAAATAAGAATAAAAACATATTTATTACTCCTATGGTTATAATAAATTGTTAAACATAAACTATATGAATATTATGATTTTTTTCTAGTTATTTTCGTAAATTGATTTTGGTTATGAATTCAACTATCACAGTATATGGTTGGTTAGTGGACGATGTATTGATACGGGTGTTGCTTTATAAACTGCGAAAAACGCATAATTCATTTTCTTCTTCTTTCTTAACCCGAAATATTATAATTATTCAATGAAACTAATTAAATATTTTAATATTTCAATACCGTATTTGAATTATTGGCTGCCCTGAGTCAGGAAGTGTCTAGTTGGTTCTGCCTTTGGTCCTGCACCTGATCTCTCTCCGGTGGTGTCGGATAGCCATCTCATAGGACTATGAGAGTGATGAAATAGAGACTGCACATGTGCTTGCGCACACATGCGTACACTATAATCCTGTACCGTTCAGACGGATAGTATCTGTTGAGACTTGCCGCCATGATCGAAATTTGGTCTAATAGGGCCAAGGGATTCCGATGCGGACGTTTATAGAGATATTTCGCCGCGGCTTGTTCACGTATCAGATTACAAAAGCTAGCAGATAACTTGGCAGAAACTTTGATCAGCGAATCAGCCTTGCGATATAGCGATGCTAGCTAATAATGTAACACTCACAAAATCATCGTACACATTTACTTTCATAGTTGTATAATATTATAATGGTATTACTAACAATATTAATTACGGCAATTAAAGCCGTTCTATTAGTTTGAAAGCGTTTCTTTATAGTTCTCTGGTAGCTTTCCTATTCAGAACAGCAGTTTAAACATAACTATGTTGAGAAATAACGCAAGCTTATCGCCAATTTCCTTGCATAGAATACCAAAATATTTCACGCACAAACTCCGAAGTATAAAAAGTTACGGTTATGACTAGACTTTCATCGGAATCTAAAGTATACGTAGCGCCAAATATAATGTATTTAGCTAATTTAAATCGTTGAATGCATTGTAGCAAAATCTTAGTGATATGGACAAAAGGTGGGCTTAAAATTGGAAAAAATGGAAAATAAAATTGTTTCCGGATCATCGTTTTTTTCTTTTTTTGCTTTTTTGGGTTACCCCACCTACGAAATAAGGTGGAACGCCTCTTTGAAACACCAGGTCGCCAGTTCTCTACACTTACCATTTTTTTTTTTTATAGAACAGGGTAATGTACGAGCATACAGTCCACCCGATGGTAAGTAGATTCTGTGGCCTATAGACATCTACATTGATGGTAAATTAAAAATCAAAATGTAGATGCGTTGTCACCCCTGACAACCAAGATGGAATGCCTCATTTCTAGCAAAAAGGATCTCCGGTTCTCTACACTCACCAAACGAAACAGCAGCACTAACGGTCACAGGGTCAATTTGGTCCTACACAGAGCCGATATATTCGTACTGCATCATAAATAGCTACAGGCTGACTCTACCACGTAAAATTGGGTTCAGCGTTTTTCTAAATGGATTTTTCATCATCCGGCCGCAGAGCCCCGTCCGTCATTCAGCATTATTATCATTTCAGCTCCCCCTCCCCCAATTCCAAAGCTGAACATGACCTACCTCAAGGAGATCCTATGCCACCTACATTTCACGAGATCCTGCATGTCATATAAAATCGTCGCTTCATTTAGTAGGAGGGGAACCATCTTACACTTCGCTTACCGGTACGCGGCTGCCATACGAAAACCTTTCTTCCCCAGCAGTTGATTCTTCAATCTATATAGCCTGCTCATTGTCATTTCAAACATACTGATACGTTGGGCTACGTCGGTTACTCTGGTTACTAATACTACTATATATTAACGTCTTGTATTATTTTTTCCAGCGGCGGTTTACATAGCCGGCGTGGTAGCTGTTGTGAGCGTGACGGTGCTCGGAGTGTTCTGCATACTGTCAGTTCTGCAACTCGCGATGATCTCGTCAAAGGAGAAAGTTGGCATAAAATACTCACATCTTGTCATGGTGAAGTTAGCGCTGGCGCTTTTAGCAAGTGAGTATCAATTCTTTTGTGTGTTTTCTCTAAAACCCAACTGGGAGACATTATTTTTTTTTTAATCACTTGCGGACAATGATCATATCTACACTTATACTATTATAAAGAGGAAAGATTTGTTTGTTTGAATTGAATAGGCTCCGAAACTACTAGAGCGATGTGAAAAATTCTTTCACCATTAGAATTCTATATTATCCCTGATGAACGTAGGTTATATAATATTTTCAAAAAAGTTAGGGATCCGTATGAAAACTTCGTTAATGTAACCCAAGGTGTGAAAAAAAATACCAAAAAGAATCCTTATATCGCGTACGCTGCGGAAACTATTGATAATGTCACACACTCAGACACTACTCTAGTACAGAACACTAGGGCACACCGCATTCGCCGGCAAATGCGTCGTCACAGACACACTCTCTCTCGAAGTTCGCATGTCGCAAGGCGCAGACGCGTTATATACGCGGGTGAAACCGCGGGGCACAGCTAGTAATAAATATAGTTAGGGATTTAATACTCATGTGTTGATAATTGGTTTCTTATATTTAAAACTAATGTTTTATGGCATTCAATTTTAACTTATCTTAAATTCCTAATGTCGAAACGCAAATATTGTAGATTATAGAGTGTATGTAATATTTTTTTACTAATCCCATAATGCAAACGTAATATGCAAACATAAGTCAACCCTGACAATACAATCCGTAAAAAATAATTATATTCAATATGTCATGTCGCCTCCAACGAAAGCCTCCAATGTGTTCCTAAAAAGAATTAAGTATTGCACTGTAAATAACAACATATAATATATATACAAAGTAATTTATAGCTTTCATATTAATTTCAGCGCTACTCTCCATAGCCGCAGCTGGTCTGTTCGCGGTGCAGGTCGATGACAGAGGATTTTACCTGACAAGAGGAGAAGCGTTTTACGTTCAGGTATAGAACAAAGAACGCTATTAAAATAAAAATAATAATTGTATTTGGATGAGGAGTGTTTGACGGTAGGAGTCGAGTAGTCGAATAAAGAATTGGAACCCATGATTTTCCGAATGAAGCCTTAGTCCACTGTCGCTTAAAAGATATTATATTTTTTAAACTTAAATATAAATATTTTTTACCGTTCCGTACCCAAAGGGTAACTAACGGGACTATTACTAAGGCTCCGCTGTCCGTCCGTTTGTCCGTCACCGGGCTGTATTTCAAGATCCGTAATAGGTAGACAGTTGAAATTTTCACAGAATGTGTATTTCTATTGCCGCTATAAGAACAAATAAAATTATAAAATTTAAAATAAATTAAAAATTAAAAAAGGCTTTCAAACGTGTATTACGATGGTATACCGTACTATCCCTTCATACGCGAGTACGACTCGCACTTGGCTAGTTTTTATTTACGTTTTGACGCGACATACGCATATTAATAAAAATTTCTTGTTAGGAGTTAGGAATATCTGGTTGCACTAATGATGGTCTATGTAGAAAAATTCGGGGCTTCTACGGTTCCTACTGCACCACGATTTGAAGGCGGATTCACATAGATCTGGACGAGATACGCCGAAAAGTAATAATAAAATGTTTCGATATCTCGCTTAGTTTACGAGATATCAATACTCAAAATTTAATACTAAAACCGAATCAGCACGCCCCGTCTACACATCTACATCTTTCCTCGATTAAGAATCAAAATGAAGATGCATTGTGACCCCTGAGTACCAAGTTTGTATCTGTATGCCTTGTTACCAGTAAAAAGGGTTTCCGGTTCTCTACACTCACCATTCGAAACACAGCAGCATTATGTTGCGTCTTACGCTGGTATTCAGTGAAAGCGTGGTCCTTCCCCGGTCGAGCCGACGCATTTGTGGTACAACCTTAATATAGCTGCTGCGTGGCTCTACAATGTCTAAAAAACTGCACATTTGTCTCTATTTTTTCTTTTTCCGCAAATCAGAACTTTTGAACGATTCGTTTTCGATGCAGACTCCCTGGTCGAACCCCAAACTATTTGCGCAACTATACAACAATACTGCCGCAGTGTGATTCTGCTATACTGTTATTAACACACCTTTTAATCTAAAATATCACGTGTAGTGACGGCGTTATAGAATCCACTACCCTATATCACTGACAGGAGAGTAGCAGCATCTTTCTGATACCAACAGCTAAATAAGTAATAACTAATATTAAAAATATTAAAGTTAGTAAAAATTACCTCGCGTACATCCGCTAGATAAAATAAAATGATGTGTCTTACCTAGTTTGAAGAGCACCTCCCGCCCTCCCTCAATTGTGTGCACTATCACCGTCACCACGACACAAGGGAGGGCGGGAGGTGCTCTTCAAACTAGGTAAGACACATCATTTTATTTTATCTAGCGGCTGTACGCGAGGTAATTTTCACTAACTTTAATATAATGGAATTCCGCAAAGTAACGCCTGATTCTATTAATTATCTTAAAATTAAAAAAAAAATCAAAACCCCCGTATCAAAAAGAGCTGATGATCTTCAAACGGCTGAACAGATTTACTTGAAACATAGCGAAGAGTACTCTCGATTTAGGCACCTTTCAAGCAAAAAAAAAAAACTCAATCAAAATCGGTTCATCCGTTCAGGAGCTATGATGTCACAGACAGACACACAGATACACACTACAATCATATAACACCCCTCTGTTTACGTCGGGGCTTGCCAACTCGTCTTCCATGCTCGACAACTATAGCAAATATACCCCTATGAGGCTCTCTTTGGAGAATACCTATGTTCAGCAGCTGACTTTTGGTAGGCTGTAACAGTATTGAATGAATGGTCACGTACCGTTGGTCTATTTACAGGATAATCATTGGATTTTTGTTACGTGGTAGAGCCATGCTGCAGCTATATTAATAGTATAGTAGTAGCACGAATGGGTCGGCTCCACCGGGGAAGGAGCACGCTCTCACAGAATACCAGCGTAAAATAGCGGCCTATTGCTGCTGTGTTTCGCATGGTGAGTGTAGAGAACCGGAGACCCATTTTACTGGAAAAGAGGCATTCTATCTTAGTTCTAACGGCTGACAACGCATCTGAATTTTAATTCACAAATGAAGATAGATGTAGATGTCTATGGGCCACAGCAACCACTTACCATCAGGTGGACTGTGTACTCGTTTGTCACCCTTATTCTATAAAAAAAATTAAATAATGATGAAAATTTACCATTATCACCCATTTTCTTTATTTCAGATCGTTTGCATAGTAATTAACTCTATGCTGTTCATAATGTCGTTATACGACACGTTGTTCTCTCGACGAGTCGGCGGCGATCCGACGAATCCACACAACGGGACCGAAGGCACCACCATCAACAACCCCGGCTTCAAAGAAGGAAGAGGTAATTTTCGAGTGATAATAACGACCTTGAAAACTTCCGAACAAGTAAACTGCGTAGTGGCAATGTAAGAACGTCGACTACCCTCCCACGGAACGATATAATAATAATAATAATTGTTTTATTGTTACTCAATACATTGTTATGTATTACATAAATTGAGATAGCTCCAGTAAGTTATAAAATATTTATATGTGATAGGGAAGGTAAGAAGGGACAGAGGTAAACTGAAACAGACGAAGGGTAGCAGCATCATCCCGTTAACAACTCAAAGTGATGAAATACTGCTGCTGACTACCCATCTGGCAGGCATGGCAACTGTGGCAAAATCTCATAATGAATACTTGCGCGAACGTGATGACAATGTTTACTTGAACACTACACATTGAACGAAACTAGTTTTACGGAATTTATCGGTGACTCATAGACACCTATCCACAAATCAATGAAAATGAAATCGCGTAGTTACCTCTTGACTACTAAGACCGCATGCCTCGTTACTAGTAAAGAGCGTCTTCAGTTTTGGTCACCATATGAAACACAGCAGCATTATGATGCAAGCGTGGTTCTTCCCCGGTCGAGTTTATCCCATTCGTGATGTAGCCATATTACCCTACAACATGGCTTTATAATGAATAAATCTTCGACTTAATAATAAGTTCAACTGCTGCACCCCCCTGTTGCGTCTTAAATGAGTAAATATCTAAATAAAATATATAAGCGAAATACCACTGACTGACTCATCACGAGATCTCTAAAACTATTTTTTTTTAATATAGGATAGGGTGACAAACAAGCACAGTCCACCTGATGGTAAGTGGTTCCTGTGGCCCATAGACATCTACATCTATCCTCGTTTGCGAATCAAACCATAAACCATAAGGACTAAGATGGAATGCCTCTTTCTAGTAAAAAGGGTCTCCGGTTCTCTACACTCACCATACGAAACACAGCAGTGTTAAGCTGCTATTTTACGCTGGTATTCTGTGAGAACGTGGTCCTACCCCGGACGAGCTGACCCATTCGTGCTACAACTATACTACTAATATAGCTGCAGCATGGCTCTACCACGTATAAACTATACACCCGAATGACTTGAAACTTAGTATAGTTACTCATCGCATCGCAATGTAGACGCTCTTTAAGAAAGGATTTTACGATAGTACCTACCCTCGAAAAAAATCTTGATATTTCATCTAGGTGCTGCAATAAAATACTATCGTGCGCCCAGCGAAGCGAGCGGGTATCAGCTAGTATCTAAATATAAACTGTATCTTCACAGGTATTTCGATGACAGATGCCTCGGGCAAACCGTACAGCACAAACGGCCACGGAAGCGTCGCGTCTATGAACACAACAGCGACAACCTTAACGGGCCTGTCAGACGCTAGTACCATCACTAGATCACCGCTTAGGTCCTCTTTAAAGAAACCTAGACCCAGGGAAGGAGAACCTGGGGGACTTGGAATCCAAAATCCCGGGTACTCCGGTCATTCGCCTCCTCTAAATAGAAACGGCAGTCAGAAAAAAGTTCGCATACAAACACATAGCACTGAAGTTTAATAATGTAAACCGTTCAAAAAATGTAATGTATGGTTATAAGATTAACTTATAATCTGAATCAATGTACCCATATTATATTTGTAACTACGGACGTAAACAATACGGACGTGATGTTACACTGAAAATGTTTGGAGCACTCTATGTCCTACAAATTTATTGTCTTACGCGAGATACACGCACACAAATACGTCAAGGTCCGGCGCCAGGATACCACGCGGCCTAGAAATTACTCTAGACATTATTTAAATAAATTAATATTTCTCCGTACTTACCACGTTTTACGGTGCGTACACATTATATAACATAACATGTTATAAAACGTTGTTATATAACGTTTCAGTTATGTCGAAGCTGAATGTTATAAAACATGTTATATAACGTAACATAAGTATCATATAACTCGAACGACAGAACATTGTTATATTGCATTGTTATTCTAATGTGTACAGTATTGTTATATGTAGCAATGTTGAAAAACAATGTTACATAATGTGGACGTGTTATAAAACAAAAGTTATACAACATGTTACTTGATCTGTACGCACCCTTAAATAATTTATGAAACAGTGTGCGCAGTTAGAAGAAAAAGTAATATAACAAAAATAAATAGAGAACAGCAACACTAATCATTCGATTGTATGTATTTTTATGTGTATTTCCTCATAACTTTTTCTATGTGAACGGATTTCGATGATTCTTTTTTATTTGAAAGCTGATGCTTCTCGTGTGGTCTCTTCGAAAGTAAAATCGCTTAATTCGTGTTATGTACAATACTACAGAATAAATATTATGCACCGGCTAACTTCGTATTTTCGAATATGACCGAACGCATCGACACAGTATATAATATAGAGCTGATTTTACAAAATATTATTACGAGGTTATCATTATTGTCAGATACTAACTTAACCCGATATCAATAAATTTGAAACTTAACTTTTAAAAAAAAAACAAATTATCACAGCTCTGTATGATGCTCAAAACCGGTGGCGCAAGCCCTCTCTTCGTTTAATTCAACTCATTTGGTACGCTGTTGCACGGCTTTAAACTAATTGCTGTTCTTGGAAACCATATTGATATTTAATTGTTTGTAATAAAGTTGAAATTACGAGTGTTTTATTTACTTTCGTCATTCGCTTTTGCAATGTACAATACGATTGTTTCCAATGTTTGCCGATGCATAATATTTATTCTGAAGTACCTATTTTATCATGCTGCATACTGTCGATTGTCATTTATGTGTGCGTGTATCTCACGTTATAACAAACAAATACAGTTTGACCCGCGGTAATCCGAAAAACGTTTTGCAAGGCGATGTCGTATTATCAAATTTGTCGTACTATAGAATACTGACACAGCCCCCTGGTACTCCGGAACTTTTTGAAAAAGAGTACCTTGTAATTCGACAAATTATGTATATATCAAATATTAAATAATAAAACATAAAAAAGTAAATAATGAATGCCCGCTAGGCCACTACCATAGTTAAACTGAGACAACACGCGCAATAATAATGAAGTTAGATTCGTAGTGGCGCGAACTAATTGCAACCTGTTTGTCCACGTATTCGCGAAAGACAGCCCCCCGTGGCGGATTCATAACGCAACTCGACTGTAAATATATAAGGAGGTAACAATCAAAATGTGATATGTCACTTGGATATGGAACAAAGAAAAATAAACATTTTTGATTTTAGCGAATTGAGTGTAAGTTTAAGATTCATATAAAAGTGAAAAAAACAAATTATTACTACTGAATAATATTATTATATTTTAATGGATAAGTCAAGTCTCTATCTCTTTATTTTAATTTTTGAAAAATGGACAAAACACGTCATGCATGAACCACATGGACAAAACATGTTTTGACTTGAAAACACGCAGTCGAAACGTGTTTTGTCCATTTCTAACTACAATCTTTTGAGTCTTAGATTAGTGTATGTTGTGGATCTGTTTTGATTAAAAAAAAACAGTATTTTAGAAAACATGTTTATTTTAGCAATATTAATTAGTAAAACTTTTATTGACTTATTTTACCACTACAATCAGTAATACTTAAATTCTCATACAAATCTCACTATCCAGACAATCACACTCATTTTCATTATCATCAATTGTTTCCTGAATAGTGGTTGGAGTATTGAAAAGAACTTCTTTATACCAGTTGAAACGGATGTCCTCAATCTCTTGCCAGTTTCCAAAAACAGACTGTAGTAATTTGTCTACATCCATCTTTTTTTCATTAGATAAAGATCTGCTTAAAGGCAGTGTTTTTGGTTGCATTCTGTTTAACATGTTAATGGTGAATGATTTCTTGTTTAAATTTTCGTATGTTTCATTTCCTTCATAAATAAAGTTTTCCATCGCTCGAACTCTGACTGACCGTTTACCATTAACCTCGCTGACTTTGAAGAAAATCCTTTTCATATTGCTTATGTTTTTTAGATCTTTGTAGAACTTCTTTAAGTCCTTGGTATCTTTGAGTTCCCAGTCTTGTCCTAATGAATACAACTGTCCCAGTTCTTTAAAAATTTCTATATATTCTTCTTTTGCGATAATAGTGGGCTTGTTTCGCAACAGTTTTTCAGCCCTGCCAAAAACTCTATCGGCAGGCAAAAAGGAATGGCCTCGAGTTGGAAAATGCATATGAATTTCCTTAAGAGATGTTCTTGTAGTTTGCAAATAGTACATAATAGTACGTATTACAATATTATTTTTATTTTGAGAGATACATCCATCACTAAACAGTCTTAAAATGGTGTGTGATTGGAAATCAGTATTCAGAAGGAAATGTAACAAAGCAGATGATATTTCTGTACTTCCTTTACCGGCTCGTTCTTCAGACCAGCAGTAAAACTGTGGTTTCAGTCCTTTTAAATCGACTATGCAAAAGTTGTAAAATCCAATTTGTCTCAAATAGTATGCCTCCTGTACCGGTGCTTTTGGCAACGGTTGGATTTGTTGTAAATCAAAACAGTAGCTTATCGAATCTTCTACATCCTGCCTCATTAGCTGATAAAATGCATTCGCTCTCTTCTTATGAATTCTTTTTTCTATAATGACATCATTTCTCTCCTTTGACCCTGATGGATATGTTTTTATTTTGTGGTTTAGAATTGTGCAATAACTGCACACATCGGTAGCTGGCGATTTAAAACCAATATTAAATTCACTAACAAAGATTCGTCTAAACATTGAAAGTTTCACTTTCAGTTCATCAGTGGTATTCGCATTGTATATTTTATGTAATTTTTGAATACTCAAGCCTGCCATCAAATAGATTCGTTTAGACTTATTTCTTCCATAATGACTTTCACTTCCTCGAAGTTTTCCAATGAATTTTCTTACATTGTCTTTCTTCTCCCGGCTTAAATGACTTTTTCGGTCACCTCCTCTATTTTCTTTAATTCTTTCACCCTGAAACTGCTTTTTTGCTATATTTTGAAGCCTAGTTCGACCCATCTTAGTTACTTCAAGAAAAAACTTCTTGCAAACTGGAACCCTCTGAGAATCAACTGTTAAGAAGTATTTCACATTGAATAGATGTTCTGACACAACCTTCTTGTTAGGTTTTACTCTAGGTCTTCTTCGCTTCACTTGGTGAGTCTGAATTAAAGATGAAATGATCCCATCTTGAGCAAGGTTTTCCGGAACCGAACACAACTTTGTTCGCATATGCATAACGTGCTTTGGTGTAACTTTTGAGCAACGAAAGATTTTCGTGTCGTGTGCACAAGGGTGAATAACATTAGAATTATAAAGTTTTGAATACTTCATCTTCTTCGCAGCAATTCTTTTTCCACCAGTGATACGTCTTTTACGGCTACCACTATTCCCCGCTTGTACTTCTATAGTATCCGTTTCGTCTACGATATCGTCCATTTTTTATTGCATTAAAAATTAGCGTCACAATATTATTTTATTTTATTCAAAAATCGAAAAATACGACACAGTAAAATAACCTCACATAGGTAATGAATGACAACAAGTGGTTCATTCAGATTCATTCAAACTGTGTTAAGTCAAATGTCAAAATGGCGTCCACTTATTTGTGATTGGTTGTTCGGACAAAACATTTTATGATGTTAGCCTGCTGAAGGACAGAACGCGTTTTGTTTTTACTGCCTATTTTACTCATTAAAAATATTTAGAGAAAACATGTTTTGATGCAAACTGTTCTTTTAAAAAATATGGAGCCCATAGAGTAGAGGAAAATGGTATTATCAACTTTTTTTCTTTATTTTTGTGACAAATCACGTTTTGATTGTTACCTCCTCATATGTTAAAGACATGTCGGATTACAAGGGGGTGCGGATTAGCCAGGGACCGGGTTACCGTGGGTCTATTGTAGTAGATAGGACGTAGAGTGCTTTACTCGTTTTCAGTGTAACATTACGTCCATATTATTTTTTAGGTCTGTGATTGTAACTTAATGTTTTTAACATGTAAATTTGTTTACATAGTACTATATAAGCTTGTTTATGTCACAGCAATATAATGGAGATATTATCGTTCTAATCACATAATTCTAGGTGTTAATTGTAATTAGGTGTTAATTTACGTCACATAGTTAAAGTACGAGCATTTACGAACATTCGAAAATTCTGTCCGACATTATTAGTCTGTGCCAATCCAATATTTATTTCAATTTAATTATTTATGAACTTTATTACGTTTAAATTTTTCTATTTTACGGTAATCGAATGACCACAGGTACTCTGAAGGTTTTGAACTGTTAGGAGCATAAAATAAGAAAAAAAATAATTTATTAAATATATTAAAAAGAAATCCTCCTTGGCAGGGAAGATGTCCAAGTAGACTTACAGGCTGGTGGTGAAGGAGAAAAACGTAGTATTCATAACATAAACAATGCAATTTCTTTTTACAATTTTTAAATTGAATTAATTTACAAATGAAACTTATTTACACATAACATATTTTACAATACTTAAAAATTTTTAGAGTTTTCAATTAAATATTTTAAAGAAAACCTATATATTG